AAACCCTGTGGAGCCCCCACTCAAAGCCATTCCACCAAGATTAGAGCACCATCAAAACACCATCAAAAGCCATCAAAAACCCATATGGGTATGGATCAATACCTATAAGTACCATTTTTAGTGGGATGAACATCCATTTACCAGCTATTTTGGGGTTCACTAGGTACCAGGGTTTTGACCCATCCCCATATTTTTCCACCATCAAATGTCAGCATCATCTCCAACCTCTCCACCCTTCCCAGGCATTGGCTCGCCTCCTCGAGGCCTTGACCGTTCACCTCCAGGACCCCGCAACGGCTTCGAGTGCCACGGCTTCGAGTTCTTGGAGCGTCCGGAGATGCAGTTGACCACCTCCAAGGTGGAGACCGTGCCCGTGCGTTGCACCTGGGTTCACCAAGTTGGGAAGTCATGGGTTGATAAATCTTACGTAATTAATGGGTTAATAAGGTTAATCATGTTTAATACTGGTGAATCATTGATAATGATACTGAAACTGGATCTGAATTTGTTTTGTTTGTTTGTTAAAATGGGATGAACCACCAAGTGGGGGCCTCTGTTTAGGATAGCTAAGTTGGTGAACAGTAATCCAATAACTATGGTCACTGCTAATGTGGCAATGCAAAATCCCCTACAATAGGTTTATATAGATGTGAAACACATCGAACAACATGGTGGATTTCCATTGCCGTGTTTGATTACCACAAAGTTGCCATACACGATTTTTATCGATTATATGGATTGAAATAGATTATTTTAGAGCTGATTGAATATCCATGATCAACGGATTTCGTTTTTTGCCGGTTTATGTTTGGGTGATTTGATGGATGATGGCTTACAAAAACCCGGTAACCCCCACAACTTCGCAAGTTGTAAACTGGTCATCCTTGTGAAGCCGTCCTGGTCAATCGGGCTAGATCTGTAGTTTTTTTTTCCGACGACGGTCGTGACCTCACCGTAGACGATGGTTCGGGGGAACTATCCCCAAATGATCAAATATGTATAACTGGTTGGTGGTTTGGAACAGCCGTGTCGGCCCAACACCTGCCAGGGGTGCGGCTGCCCTGGCTGATCGTTGGGTGGCTGTCCCATTCCGTTCTCGCTATGGCTTGTTTCCCCATGGACCTCCCTTCGGCTAACATTGGTGACATCTTTGACCTTGTTGGAAAAGTGTTGGTTTTTGACATTGGGCATTCTTCCCATCTTTTGCAGGTTCGAGGTGGAGATTTGAAATTCAACTACGAGGGCCTTCTGACTGGTGAGTTTGCCAGGGGTGCGGCTGCCCTGGCTGATCGTTGGGTGGCTGTCCCATTCCGTTCTCGCTATGGCTTGTTTCCCCATGGACCTCCCTTCGGCTAACATTGGTGACATCTTTGACCTTGTTGGAAAAGTGTTGGTTTTTGACATTGGGCATTCTTCCCATCTTTTGCAGGTTCGAGGTGGAGATTTGAAATTCAACTACGAGGGCCTTCTGACTGGTGAGTTTCACTCTTTCACCCTATTCAATGTTCGTTTGAGCAAGCAGTTTCCTGTGCCAGTTGTTTCGGCCACAAAGGATACCATGGTTTTAGGACACCAGGTTCCAACATGGGATTCACTCCACTCAGTCATTGACCTATGCAGCGGCTTTGGGGGTCTGGCCCAGGGCTCTACAGGTGCAGGATTCGAGGTTGTGACAGCGGTTGATCAGAATGAGCACATGGTTTCACTTCACGCCAAAGCAAGTGAAGCCGTAGGCATTTGTGGGGACTTCGGATCACAAAGTGTACTCATGGACATATGGAAAGTTTCACGTGGAGCAGCTGTTATTTCTTCCGGGTTCAGTTGTCAGCCCTTTTCACGATTAGGAGATGGAAGAGGTGAGCTGGACACCAGGGCGAATTGTCTCACCAAAACTCTCAATGCTGCCATTGCACTCCATGCTTATGCGGTGATTTTGGAAAGTGTAGCCCCGGCAGCCCAAGACCAATTCGTGAAGGCTGAACTGCTCAGATTTTGCCGTAGCACTGGTTTCACTTGTTCGCAGACGGAACTCCGCCTCGACCATGTTTGGCCATGCCGCAGGCAGAGAGCTTGGTGGATTCTGACCGCCCCAGAAATCGGTGAGATCAAGCTGTCCCCATGGAAACCTTTGGATAATTTGTGGGAAACCCAGCAAATCATTCCTGAAATTCGTTTATGGGATCAAAATGATGAGCAGCAATTGAGTTTGGACCACCAAGAACTGGAAGCTTTTGGGGTGACCAACAACACACATGCCAAGCACATGCTGAATGCCAAAGGAGTGGCACCATGCGCTCTCCATGCTTGGGGATCGCAATTGCATGCTTGTCCCTGCGGCTGTCGTAAGTACGGTTTTTCTGCATGCCGATTGGAGTCCAAAGGTCTCCATGGATGTTTGGTCAGAAGTGCTTTGTGGCCTGATGGTAATACATACCTCCGGCACTTACACCCCAATGAAACTATGGCACTCAATTGCATGGACCCTGTTCTTGATTTTGGGGAGAACGTCAAGCTGACACTTTCAGCTGCTGGACAAATGGCTTGCCCTATTCAAGCACTGTGGGTGTTTAGTCATCTGGCTGCACGACTTGATGACATGCAACAAAGGCCATGTCTCACCCCTGATTTCCAGATCCAGGCATATCGCTCATGGATGCTTTTGCGATGCCGTCAGGTTTGGCCCTCGCATGATGAAGTGATTCGTGATGACAAATTGCTTTCCCTGATTGGTTTCTGGAAGGATTACAGTGACCTTTCTCTTGCTGAACTTGTGTATCCGATGCGTTGGGAGGGCAAAATCACGGGTTCAGTTAGTATCGCCTCAGTCCTTGATTTTCTCATCCGAACAAAGGAGACCATTCCAGAAACTCTCTCGGATGTCTCACAGCATGAAGATGAGCCGACCCCGTGGATGGATTGCCCAATCATCTCTGATGACCCTACGACCGTAGGGTGCATGCAAGCTGACTCGTGCACGGTTGTGATTGAGGGTACCAGTGACTCCCCTATCCGTTTTCAGCCCAAGTGTTGTGCCACTGTTTCACAGTTCTTGAATGCTCATGCCAAATTGGTTGAAACATTGGATGTTGAGGCCATTACACTGAATGGTTCCATCATTCCTTTGGAGCATGTCATGGAAGTGGGGCAGGTGATTGTGATCCGTACTCGGAAGCTACATGGATCCCAAGAGGAGATGCAGGTTGTCCATGATGTTTCACCCACGGTTGAATGGTCACAGCCAGTGCAAGATCCGATTGAAGCTTTTTCTCCCCCGCGCAAGGTCTTGAAGACTTCCAAGTTTGATGTTGGCGAATGTGGTGTCCCGCCTAGTGGACTCTTGCCTGATCAGCCATGGTTGGATGCCACACCATTTCTCCAGCTGCAAGGTGAGCAATTTTTGAAACTCTCACCACCAATGTTGGCGAATACCCAGCAATTGTGGTCAGTGAGGCACCAGTTCTTCCGAACGAATGATCGTCTCCAAATCCTGGAGGCCCAACAGCAATTTTGGGCTGACGATGAAATCCGTTTTCATTTGAATGCTTTGATTCCTGCCTTTCGTGACTATCAGCTTCAGGGTAAGTCTCCGGTGGTTCCACTTTGCGTCATTGACCCCTTGATTACGACCTCATGGGTTTCTGGCAAAGGGTTTGATTGCAGTTTTTGGGCAAAAGATCACCCTGAGATCTTTCAAGCAGGAATCCCAATCATCACTGTGGTCCTCATTGACAAACATTGGGTTCCGGTTCACATGACCCCTATTCAACAGGTGCTCCATGTCTCCACATGGGACAAAGCTGATGCTGTTCATGAAGGGCTGAACCATGTCATTCACACTCTGGCTGTTTCACTGGGATTTGAGAGCGCTCTGATTAGGCGTGAACACAGACTCTTTTTCACCTCTGAGTTATGTGGATCATTGGCCATTGCGTTTCTTCGCCATGCTTTGGTAGGCACCCTTTTGCCCACAGACAGCCATGAAGCAGAGGCAATACATGCCATGCTCAGGACAAGGTATGTTTCGGCGCTTCAGAGAAGTGACATAGTGGACCGTCCCTGGATTTGGGGTGCGGGTGATGCTCAGGAGTCGACACCACAGTCATCGGTGGTTGAAATCCCCACCGTGAACATCACCCGGGATCAAAGAATTGATCTCATCAATGAAAGGGGCACAGCCATGGCTGATGATGAAATGCGTTTCCACCTGATCAATCTTGTTGAGAAACAACCTGTTACCAATTCCTTGCTGGGGCGTTCTTTTACCTTCCTTGAGCCGTTGGTATTCAATTGTTGGAGTTCCATTGGGAAAATCATTGTGGAACAATGGTGTGCACGTAACACTGAAGTTCACACCCAAGGGGTCAATGTGGTCACCGCGTTTGCTGTTGAGGGGCATTGGATTCCGGTTTGGTTTTCACCCAGAAGCACAGTCATGCAAGTGCACATGCTCCAGGCTGAAGGCATTGATTTCACCCAGCTTGAGGAAGTTTTTGAACTGATTGCTCACAAATTGGGTTTTGAGACTTTCGTCCTTCACAAAGTGCCGGATGGCTTGCCTCCTCATACTATGTGTGGGGCCTTCACAATGTGTTTCTTGGCCCATGTTGTGATGGGTATGCCACTACCTGATGATTTAGGTGAACTGCGAACCCTCCACACAAACATGAGGGCATCATTTGTTGCTCAATTGTATGCAGTCGATGTCACGCCACGACCTGTGGTATGGGGTACGGGTAGGAAGGGCACTTGGGTTTCTTCTCTGCCTTGTTCTCCAGTTGCCGAGCAGCCAGACAGTTTTGCCAGTTCATCCGCAGAGACTCAGGTTAGGCGTGGACGTCAGCCGCTCCCTCCAGGACGTGTTTCTGACCGACAGACACTTGCGCATGACCCTCCTACTGCCAGTTCATCCGGTAGCTTGTCACATGGTAATTTCTCACAAGTATTTGGGAACCAGCACCAAGCACAGTGCAATCAGCCTGTTGTTGCACCCAGGGTTGATGTCTCTGTGCCTTTTCCCCAAAGTGTCCGTTGCCCAAGTAATGTTGGTTTTCAGGTCTTGTCCTCGTCGGTGTCTTGCCACTTGCCTGATGCTTCTGGACATACCGATATTTGCTCACAGCCAGGGGAATCCGGGCCACTCCCTATAATGCCCGTGGAACAGCATGAGGAAATTGCCAGCCTTTCGGCCCTGTCCAGGAACGTGCAGATCTCCCACCCGGGTCTTGGGGTGTCGTCAATGCCTGGGGCACCTGTTTCACTCCCTGTGAGTACTCATTGCCCAAACCATGACCATGATGTACAAGCCAAAGGTGGCCAGATTGATGATGCCTTGTCTCCTGTGTCCACACACTCAAGGGAATCCGGGCCACTCCCTATAATGCCCGATGAACATGCCCTGCACCCGGCAGAGTCACCTAGGCATGGTGATGACAGTGATGAGATGTCAGCCCAGCGCCAGGCACGACTTCTGCAAGTAACGTCCCATAGCTATGCCATGGCCGATGATGAGATGCATTTTCAGCTCCAGCATCTGATGCAGTGTCACGTCCCTGACGGTGTGCGTAGCTTCACATTTGCTCCTCCACTGTACGTTTTTCAATGGATGTTGGGGGACCCGACTGGCCTGGACGAGTGGATTCATGAAAGTTGGAAAGTCCGAGATGCTGATATGACTCATTTAATGGTTGCATTTCTGATTGAAAGCCATTGGATTCCTGTTTGGTTTTCACCCTGCCCAGCTGGCCTACAGGCCCACACACTTGCTGCCTTTGCAAGTGATGAGCCCCTGGTGGATTCGGTCTTGCACCTGTTTGCTGCCAAACTTGGGATGCCACTGCATGTGATTCACCGTGTGCCTCATGGTCTGGAGGTTGATCGCTTGTGTGGTGTGATGACCCTGAGCTTTTTTGCACATATCATGATGCGGACTGCCATGCCTCGCGCTGTTGAGGAACTGCACACTAGGTGCTGGAAGATGAAGGAAGTTTTTGCTCGTGCCCTTCAGAGTGGTCCTTTCACACAACCCACTGCCTGGGGGTGGGGATGTTCTTGGGAATGCAGGCCACTCCCTAGAATGCCTGCTTGGTGCGACGTTCTTGCACTCATTGAGGATGCTTTTGACATCCAGCACAGCGTAGGTAGGCTCAACGCCTTGCAGTGCATGCCCTTGATGCCGCAGGTCCCGTATGGTATGTCCTTTGAGGAGATGTCTGTACATGTTGCCACCTTGGCCTGTTGTGCACCAGTCCTAAGTTCTTGTGCAGTAGCTGTTGGACGATCTCAATTGGAGGCCAAGATTTCGGATTTTCTGCAAAGCCCATGTGAAGTGTTCTGTTGTGCCCTGCTGCTTGAGCACCATTGGATGCCTGTCCTTGCCTACAAAGATGGATCAGGTGCCTATGTGTTCCTGGAGAAGGATCGGTTGTTGAGCCAATTCCATGGTTGCCACACGGTCTTCATTCCTGCGACTGATTTTCCATTTTGCGGTGCTGCTACTTGGGCAGTTCTGGCCCGGGTTTGGATGGTGAGTGAGATCTTAGGGGACCTTCGTGAGCTCCGTTCTTTGTTGTTCCTGCTGGCTCCTGAACAGGTTTCACCATCAACAATGGTTGGCTTTGGACCCCATGGACACCTGTTCAAAAACTTGTGTGCTGAACTCTCCAAGCATGGCATCCCTGAACACATGATTGAGGAACGTGCACACGCTGCCATCAAGGTATTGGGAAGTGAACAGCTCCTCGCAGCCCTGAATCACCGACAACCATGGCGGCAGTTGAAAGCGCTGGGAAACAATTCGAAATTCCAGTTTGTCTTACCGAGTGAATTGGCCAAAGCCATTGAAACGCAAAAGGGCCGTCCTGTCGCCAAAGGGAAGGGAAAGGGTAAAGCCAAGCCTATTCCAACACCTGTTGACCTTGACCCTGCTAAGTTGCAAGTCTTGGAAGGTACCTTCCGTTTTCAAGACCGAGTCCTTCCTCAGTTGACCACACAGCAAATTGGTCCCCTGAGCAGCGGTGTCATTCTCATGTCTCACCAGGATGCTGAGCCGTATCTGAAGTCCGGGAAGCTTGTTTCACAGGAACCTTTGGCCTTAATTGTGCTGCATAGAGCCGATAAGCCAGTTCAGACTATGCTTCCACATGCCCTGATCTCCGTCCCCTGCCGATGCATGATTGACAGTGAGCCTGTATTGATTGACGCTGTTCTTGTTCAGGTTGGCACTGGCCTGGTTGAAAAGACTGTTGGAACTTCGTTGCTTACGGTTGACACACCCGATGTAGTGACGTTGAAGGTATTGGTATACAAGGATGAACTGCACGGGGATTGGCCTGACTTCTGTCAGTCTCCTATCAAGTGCTTGGTTGGCATGCTTCCAATGCTGAAGAGATGTTTCACCGAAAACTGTTCATGTGAAGGGTGGCACAATCCGGAAAAACTCCCCATCCGTGACCCGATCATTGATGTTTGGCGCCGGCAGTATCTCCGCCAAGGGTTCAAGCCTTGTCCGCCAGCTGAGGCTGAATTCTTCTCGGTCTGCCTGAGGATCCCAATGTGCCTCTTGGAAGTCATGTTAGGAGCAAGTGGTGTCTCGGGAGTTTACTGTGAGCCACGCACGGCCGATGGCAAGGAAGTCCTCCCGAGTTACACTGTCATCTGGACGCCAAAACACTCCCTGCAGGAGATGAGGCATATAATGCAGACCAACCCGGCGGTGATTGGCCTGGCGAGATTGGCTGACCGTCGAGGATTACGGGTCCGAAGTGCCCAGGCAAAGACCATCCATGAATTGGTCAGACCTGATACGGTGTATCTGCCCAGTGGACCAAAGGGACATTACACTGTAGGCCCGTTCCCCTATGGAGTTGATCGACAGGCAGTGGGACGTATCCTGCACAAAGCTGGATGGGAATGTCGCCCTCTTCAACCTGCAGCACCGTGTCCTGGCAAAGGAGTGATGTGGACTGTCCAATCTGCAGAGGAGCCTTCGCAAACCATCCTCATGACCACCTCCGGTGAAATCATGATTTCTAAGGTCAAGCAAGATGCAGTATCACCCTCTGCGCCGTCCCTAACCGTGGGATCTGCTGCCACTTTGGCATTGTGTGGACGACCTGCGGAAGGTAATGCCAGTGATGACCCTTGGGCTATCCATGATCCCTGGAAACGGTATCACCCCGCCAGCACTGCGGTGACGGGTCCATCGGAAGGCCTGCAACAAATTGAAGATCGCATCCAGACAGCGGTCCTCGCAAAGATTCAGCCACCCATGGAGCAGGACGACCTCCCTGATCGGGTCATGACACTTGAAGGTCAAGTGCAGCACCTGCTTGCAAAGCAGCAGGGTTTGGAGACTCAGTTTCAAGAGCATAGTAGTCACCATTCCCAGCAAATCACTGCCCTGCAAGGTCAAGTCTCTGCCCAGGCTCAGCAGCTTCATGGTCACCTCGAGAATCAAAACCAGACCATGCAGTCGCTTTTCGAACAGCAGATGCAACAGATCCGTGGCCTCTTAGCCAAACGCCCAAGGGAAGAAGGAATGGAATGACAGGGAGGCCGGGGACTTGGTTTGGTGGTGCCCCTTTGCTTTCTGGTTGCAATTGTTGGGTCCCATCTCTGGGTCCTCGGCCTTCTGTTTTGGGGTTTTTGTTGGGGTGCGGCCGTGTGCCGCCATGCATCGGTTAGATGTAAAATCAAGTTTTGGCCATACGTTGTCGGACTTATGCTGATCTGTCGTATTGGTGAAGCTGCCAATCCTGGCCCTAGCACCAAATCCAATTTTGCTATTGGTGTCTTCAATCCGTCAGGTCTCCCTGGCAAGGCACCATATCTTGTTTCACAACTGGCCCAAGGGGATATTTGGGCTGTGTCTGAGACCCATTTGAGCTCCCAGGCAATGAGTCAATTTTGTGCCAGTATGCGCTTTGCAAAGAGCCCTTACAAGTATGTGATTGGTGGGCATCCTGTCCCGGCACAGACTGATCGCACGCAGCATGCTAGCTGGCGTGGGGTTGCACTGATTTCCAAGTTTCCTTCCAGAGAAGTCCCGACACACCTTCCTGAAGATGTTCGACACTCGTCAAGGGCTTTGATCACCACCTCCCTAGTACAGGACACTTGGATTACTGGGGGCCTTGTGTATGAGGAACCTGAAAGTAGTGCTTACCCATTTCGAAAGACCAACAATGAGCGTCTCCTCCATGAGGTGGTAAACCATGTTTGTTGTCTCACCAAGGGACCCAGGTATGTTGCCGGCGACTGGAACACTGCCCAGCATGAGCTCCCAGTTTTTGCACGGCTTGAAGAGGCTGGCTTTGCTGATATTCAAGATGTAGCCAACCGCCGGTGGGGTCTCCCGCCTATGCCAACGTGCAAAGGGGTTACCAGAAAGGATTACTTGTACCTATCCCCGGAATTACAACAATTGTTGCTCTCGGTGGAAGTGTATCCTGATGTGTTCCCTGACCATGCTGTGCTCATGGGAGTGTTTCACTCAATGCGAGAGCTACTCCCGAAACAAATCTGGTTTTCACCATCCCAATTTCCATGGCCGGTTGATTGGAATGTAGATGTGCAATTTTGGCATAATGCGACTGGAACTTGTGAAGAGCGTTACCGCTCCTTATGGCGACATATAGAAGACCAGGCGGCACAAGAGGTTCCGTTTCCTGTGCCCTCCAATGCCAAGGGCCGGGCACGTACAATGACCACTGCCCCTGTTATTGCCGGTAAGGTGCCTCCTCCGAGGTGTGCCAGGAAGGGTGACATCCGGCCACAATTTGTATGTGCCTCCTTTCGGCATGCCCAATGGTTGCGTCAGACAAGAAGACTCCAGGCGTATTGTCGATTTGCCAAAAGTAATGATGTTGTTACCACCCATGGATGTGCTGTTTGGGGAGCCATTGTGAGGGCGAAAGGGTTTCACCCGACATTTTCTCAGTGGTGGGGCCAATCCACCTTGCGCACTGTTGGGGCGCCTGCTGTTTTGCCAATCATGCCTCCGCCTTTTGCTGTTGCCCAACATGTCCTGGAGTCAGTGTGCCTTGCTCTCCGGCGACTGGAACAGGAACTGCAGCAGTCCTCGAGACTTTATGCCAGGCTCAAGCGTGACAGCAACCCTAATGTGATTTTCCAGGATCTGAAGTCTCACCCTGACCAGGGGGTGCATGTTTTGCTTCAACCTTCGACTGCTAAGGTCCTTGAGGTGCGTGAAGATGATTGTTCGGTTGTCCTTGATAAACCCATGCAGTTTGACCCCTTGTTGCCTGTTGTTTGCACTGCCGTCCCCTTACCCATCATTCATGCTGAACATGATTGTGTGTGGCTTGAGAACTTGGAGGGTGTTGCGGTTGGCAGCACGGTTACACAGGTGACACGTGTTGGTACAGATGAGGACTTGTTTCACCTGTTTTTGACTGCCTGGAAAGAAATGTGGGAGCGACATACCCATGTACCACAAGAGCGCTGGAACACCATTTTGGAGTTTGCCCGCCAGCACTTGCCCAGATTGCAGTTTTCATGGCCTTCCATCACCGCTGACACCTTGCGTCACTGCATTTCCCACAAAAAGCCTTTGACCTCTGGTGGCCTAGATGGTGTTTCCCTCAGGGATCTGGAAGCCATGCCCCATGCAGCCCTTTGCAACTTTGCCGATATTTTCCAGTATGCGGAGCACACCGGCTCCTGGCCGACCCAAATTGTAGCTGGCCGTGTGGCCTGTATTGCAAAAACGCCTGTTCCCAAGCAAGCCCTGGATTTTCGCCCCATTACTGTGCTAGGCCTTCTCTACCGCTGCTGGGGGACCTTTCAGGCGAGACAGGTGATCCAAAGGTTAGATGAGTTTCTGCCTATGGGACTTTTTGGGAGCAGGTCAAACCGCTATGCGGGCCAGGTTTGGTCCCAGTTGCTTTGGTCGATTGAGCAGGCGTATGAACAGGCCATTGAGCTCTGTGGGATCATTGCTGACATACAAAAAGCTTTTAACTTTTTGCCTCGGCAGGTTGTCTTTGAGTGTTGTGCTATTGTAGGTCTCCCTTTTCCGCTGCTGCGAGCGTGGGCCGGTGCCCTCACTACCATGCCCCGTCGCTTTCAGTTGAATGGGGCGATGAGCCCCCCTGCCTACAGCAACTGCGGTTTGCCCGAGGGATGTGCCTTGTCATGTGTTGGGATGATGGTGGTTGACATGGTTTACCATGCTTGGATGACACACTTCTTCCCCATGTGTCAGCCTCTTTCGTATGTCGATGATTGGCAGGTTTTGTTGACTGATCCTGACATGTTGCAGCCAGCCTTGCTTTGTTTGGAACGTTTCACTCAGGCGATGGATCTATTACTTGACCAGAGGAAGACACACACATGGGCGGTCAGTAACCGAGGGCGGCAGTTGCTGCGTGACCAGGGTCTTGACCTTATTGTTGGGGGAAAGAACTTAGGTGCCCATGTCCAGTTCACAAGGTTGCACACTAACCGCTCCCTGATGGCACGTGTTCAAGAGGGACAGCCCTTGTGGCAACGTTTGCGCCTTTCTCCATGTGGATATCCTGCCAAAGTCCGAGCCATTCGTGTTGCCGCCTGGCCACGATGTTTGCATGGAGTGCCTGCGACGACGCTGGGCTTAGCCACTTTCCAATTGCTCCGCTCGAATGCAATGCGTGGGCTACGAGCCGAGGCTGCTGGAGCAAATCCGATGGTCCACCTCGGTCTGATAGAAAGACCTGCCACTGACCCGCACTGTTGGTCTATCTTGCAAACCCTACGTCTCACCAGGGACTGCGGCATGCATGATCGAGTCCAACAGGTTTTGAGTGCAATTGCTGGTGGTTCCGATGCTTACCCTGCCAACAGCATCACCAACACCCTTTGCACCCGCCTTCAATTCCTTGGTTGGCATATTGATAGTAAGGGGTTAGTAGTTGATCATTGGGGTAAGTTTTCACTGTTTGGTATTTCCATGCCTGAGCTCCAGTATCAGGTTGAGATGCAATGGACACATGTGGTGGCTGCTGCCACCGAGCACCGTAGCTGTTTCACCGGGCTGGAGTCCTGTGATGCCGCAGCCACGCGCCAGTGGCTCGGTACCCTTGATGGCGCTGACCAAGCATTGTTCAGAAAGGTGTTGAATGGAACCCACTTCACGCAGGATGGCAAAATGCACTGCCAGGAGACTTCGTCTCATGAGTGCCCATTTTGTGAGTGTAGTGACAGTAGATACCATTGGTTTTGGGAATGCCCTAGGTTTGAAACTATGAGAGAACACATCCCAGCGGCAGCACGCAAATGCATTTCTGAACTGCCAGAAGCGCTTACCTGTGCTGGCTGGTTCCTGCAGCCAACGACCATGCAAGAGTGGAACTCCCTTTTTGCCAACTTGTCTCCTCCGCCCTTGCCATGTTTCACTCACCAGGGTGATTTGTTTCTCTTTACTGATGGAAGCTGCCATGATCAACACAACATTAACCAGCGATTTGCAGGTTTTTCAGTTGTTTCTGCCTCATGTGAAGCGGTGCATGATTGTACTGGCAGTCAGATTTTGGACTCAGGGCATGTACCAGGTCTCTTGCAGAGTGCCTATCGTGCGGAAATTTTTGCAGTACTCAGGGCCCTTCAAATTGTCCAAAACCATGAGGGACGTGTGTTTCTTTGGTCTGACTGTGATGGGGTGGTACGACGGCTCAAGCGTTTGATTTCTGGGCATGCCATTAGCGCTAACAGTAGCCATTTTGACCTTTGGGAAGAAATCCTTAAACTTGTCAAACAACGTGATGGAACTCTGTTTGTTGCCAGGGTTTCCGCTCACCAGCATGATGATGCCGGCGATGTCTACGCTGAATGGTGCTTCCGCCATAATGGAATAGCAGACCGGCAAGCTGTTCGGGCCAACCTGACCCGAAGTGCTGAGTTTTGGATTATGTGGAAGCGCCATTGCATTGCTTGTGAGGGTATTGATTGGTTTAATGGTGTGGTTCATGAGGTTCAATTGGCTATCAGCCGGGAGGTTACACGCCAAGAAACCCCGGTTCTGGCCCAACCTTTGCATGAGCCAGCAAGCATGCGCCCGTGTCCAGACTGGGTCTCGCTGCCTCCTTTGTGCCTGCCCGCAGCAGCTGTCCGATGGTATGGGGAGTCACTTGTCAGACACATTGCGAGTTGGTTCTGGTCGGCTACATACTCAGGTGGCTATGACATGGTATGGGTGTCTCACTTTCAGCTGTATGTGGATTTCATGCTGACGACGGGTATGCCTGGACCGGTCAAGCGAGAGCGATGGTGCGATGGGCGAACTTTGTCCACTCTTTGTTTGGGCAACTATACGTTTCGCACCCGCTCGCGGTGGTTTATCAAGGTCTTGAAAGAGATTTTGAGGCACATGCAGGTTTCACTGTCTGCTGATTATGGGCGGCCGGCCTCTCAGATGGTCCTCATGCACACCGGCATTGTTGCTGTACCATGGGCCCCTGATAGGCTCCGTCAGGTCGATGAGTGGATGCTGCGCCATGGAGGCAACACTTTCCGCAGGCAGTCTGCGGCTATTGACAGCCTCCCTTGTGCTGATAGATCACCTTCGTTTCCACCACATCTTGTTTCAACCATTGGCCTCTGAACTCACCCAAGCCGGGTCACGTTCGGCATTAACGTGACGCGCGAGTCAAAATGGGAGTCAAAATGGTGGTTTGGAACATTTGAAATTATTTTTCCATATATATATATATTGGGAACTCATATTTTTCAGAGGGGTGGCTCAACCACCAACCAGAATATGTCAGCTTTGTGAATTAGCAAAAAGTTCAGCCACATAGATTTGCAAAGCACCACTTCCAAGCTGCGCGCAGGGTGAGATTCATCAGTACTCAGAAGTTGGTGGAAGCTTGGTCGGCCGGACTCCGGACAACTGGCCTGGCTGTTTCTTGGGAATTGAACAGGGAAAGCCATGAAAAGTGATAAGGATATAGTGAGAATATAACTGGATCATTAAGATGACTTGACTTATATAACTTATGTAACTTATGTAACTTATGTAACTTATATAACCTATAAAACTTATATAACTTATATAACTTATAACTCATTATATAACTTATTTAACTTATATAACTTATAAAACTGGTTGGTGGTGTCGGCCACGTTTGTATTTTCAACCATAGAAACTGGATGATGAAATCAGGTGGTTGAAACCACCAACCAGTTGGATTGCAAATGGAATCTGGAAGTGAAGTAAGCAGTTGACGGCGGCATTTCGATGGCAAAAGTATGCAAAAGTGCCAATTCTAGTCCTAATTTTCTCGGATGAACACACTTTTTGTTGCGCAGAAACGAGCCAGCAGAAACGAGCATTTCAAATTTCAACAATGATTCGGATGCAAACCAACACAAGCCATGCACATTCAAATGGGCTTGCCCTCCCATGTTTTGTATTTGGTTTCGGGCCATCTACCAATGACACTAGAACTGGTGTCTAGTGTAGACCCAATTTGGATGAGGTCATCCTGTCATCCTGGAGTAGATAGAATGACAAAATGTCAGAAACTCCTCACTATCATGTTGTTATCTTTGTCCATTCCATATTCTTATCACTTCAGGGTGATTGTATGCATATATATATGTATGTATTACAAATGTATATATCTATTACATATGTATATAGGTTTACACCTACATGTATAAACACATTTTGTATACGCATTTATATCTTTGTAAATATACATACATATATATATATGTGGTTCATGTGTGGTTCAAGTGTTCCATTAGTTTGGACACGGAGTGGCCTTTAAGTTAGCAATTCATCAAGTAAGTTACCATCCTGTATGTCATGTCTCCCATGGTCCGCTTGATAGTGTACATGTGATAGTTTTATTCTTACTCACTTACTCATTACATTCACTTTCACTTTCACGATCATATGTTTCTTTATATGTACTGAATAATCATGTTTCCCACCAAGGATTTTACTCATTACATATAATAATTAAAAGTACACAGGTGGGTAAAATCTAAAAATCTGGGTGGGTAAAATCTATAAATCGTTTTTTTTTCCCAAAAGCAAACAGACTTCTGACTTCTCGAGAAGTCTCACCGAGGAAAGACCTACACGGTGCACGCCGTGGTGGGCAACGGCTTGGACTTGGAGCTGCCGAGGCCTTTTTCATGGTGAATGGGAGATGGTTAGTTCCCAAATTTCAGGTATTTCCTGTAGTATACCTATAATATACAGTATCTACAATATATATATATATATACATATACATATATATATATATGTGTGTGTGTGCGTGTCTTTTTTGTGGGGGTGGTAAATTAAATAGATGAATTTGTGACTTCACGTCGTGACCTCACTGCCATCATGGTGAATGTATAGGGGAATCATCCCCAAATGGCGGCAAGAATCAGGTTGGTAAAATAGCATATATTTTCCAGATTGATTGAGATATAGTGGGGTTCTACTAGATTCTTGACTTGTTGAAACGGGATCATTACAATCCACGATTGGAACAACTACAGACAAAACAGTAGAACCAGTTCACAACCAGGCTCTTGAGCTGCTAAGTAGCTTACAACCCCTATATACTTGGTATATACATATGATATGCACATATCTATATGTATATGATTGTATATGTGTATGTATGTATGACTCGGGATGCTCCATATATATCCATATATGGTTTGGGGAGCATGATATTCCCATAATATGCCCATCTTCCGTTCGTACCATGAATTGCATGGGATGAATACGGACCATCCCCTGCAAAATACTTAGCCCAACCTCATTTCATGAGAGATCTGACGCAAATTATTGGGTAAATTATTGGGTATACATAGAAAAGTGATCTTGGATTTAATGTGGGGGCGTATTTACCGTTTTTTTTTTAATCTTTGGGATACATGGGCTTGCCCTTTGCTAATCATGGGCGTGTCAGCATAGCACCATGGTGAATTTCCCACACCTCCATCGGATTCTTGCGTAAAAACATTTTTTTTGATTTCAAACATCAAATCAGGGGCGCAAAATGGAAATCAAAAGATATCAAAAGGCTTCAGGATTGGACATGGACTTGGGTCTCTCAGAGGGATGAAGAATTGCGGATGATGTGGTGAAACAATCAAAGTCGAACCCAAGTTGTGTTTCTTGATTATTCAAGGGCTGCCGCCCCTGCCGCCGACCCCGGAAGGCCAGAGACATCGACAAAGTGACATAGTCGGTGGATTACTAAGGTCACAAGATTGACCTAGATATTCTTCAGTGCTGCTGCTGCTGCTGCTGCTCCTGCCCCTGCTACTCCGGTGGCAGGCTGCGACGCCTTTTCCTCCTGTTTCCTGCTGCTGCTGCTGCTGCTGCTGCTGCTCCTGCTCCTGCTACTCCGGTGGCAGGCTGCGACGCCTAAAATCGAACCACTCCCAGCAGCAAATCCCCATGGCAGTGAAGGACGGAAAAGTATCAAAATTGCGCCCAAAAACTGCCTAATGTAACTTCTGAAACCCATAGAAAAAGATCATTTTAGCTACTTTTTCCTCCTGTTTCCTCCTGCTGCTGCTGCTGCTGCTCCTGCTACTCTTCTAAAACTTATAGAAAAAATGATTGTAGCTACCTTTTCCTCCTGTTTCCTGCTGCTGCTGCTGCTGGCGACCTTCCAAATCAGCCTCCTTTGTGGTCAGTTCGGTCTGGCGACCTTCCAGATCAGCCTCCTTTGTGGCCAGTTCGGCCTGGCGACCTTCCAAATCAGCCTCCTTTGTGGCCAGTTCGGCCTGGCGACCTTCCCAATCAGCCTCCTTTGTGGCCAGTTCGGCCTGGCGACCTTCCAAATCAGCCTCCTTTGTGGCCACATCGGCTTGGCGACCTTCCAAATCAGCTTCCTTTGTGGCCAGTTCGGCCTGGCGACCTTCCCTCCTTTGTGGCCAGTTCGGCCTGGCGACCTTCCAAATCATCCACCTTCCAAATCAGCCTCCTTTGTGGCCAGTTCGGCATGGCGACCTTCCAAATCAGCCTCCTTTGTGGCCAGCAAATCCCCATGCTACTCTTCTGAAACCTATAGAAAAAATGCTTGTAGCTACCTTTTCCTCCTGTTTCCTGCTGCTGCTGCTGCTGCTGCTGCTCCTGCTGCTACTACTCCGGTGGCAGGCTGCGACGCCAAAAATCGAACCACTCCCAGCAGCAAATCACCATTTTCCTGCTGTTTCCTAAACTCGAACTACTCCCAGCAGCAAATCCCCATGGCAGTGAAGGACGGAAAAGTATCAAAATTGCGCCCAAAAACTGCCTAATGTAACTTCTGAAACTTATAGAAAAAGATAATTTTTAGCTACGTTTTCCTCCTGTTTCTTCTGATTCTTCATGAAACCTATAGAAAAAAATCTTGTAGCTACCTTTTCCTCCTGTTTCCTGCTGCTGCTGCTGCTCCTGCTCCTGCTACTCCGGTGGCAGGCTGCGACGCCAAAAATCGAACCACTCCCAGCAGCAAATCCCGATTTTCTTCCTGTTTCCTAAATTCCAACCACTCCCAGCAGCAAATCCCCATGGCAGTGAAAGACGGAAAAGTATCAAAATTGCGCCCAAAAACTGCCTAATGTAACCCAAAGAAAAAGATGATTTTAGCTACTTTTTCCTCCTGTTTCCTCCTGCTGCTGCTGCTGCTGCTCCTGTGCCTGCTACTCCGGTGGCAGGCTGCGACGCCAAAAATCGAACCACTCCCAGTAGCAAATCCCCATGGCAGTGAAGGACGGAAAAGCAGCAAAATTGCGCCAAAAAAGTGCCTAATGTAACTTCTGAAGCCCATAGAAAAAGATGATTTTAGCTACTTTTTCCTCCTGTTTCCTCCTGCTGCTGCTGCTGCTGACTGTTCTGAAACCTATAGAAAAAATGCTTGTAGCTACCTTTTCCTCCTGTTTCCTGCTGCTGCTGCTGCTGCTGAAGGACGGAAAAGCATCAAAATTGTGGCCAAAAACTGCCTAATGTAACTTCTGAAACCCATAGAAAAAGATGATTTTAGCTACTTTTTCCTCCTGTTTCCTCCTGCTGCTGCTGCTCCTGCTACTCTTCTGAGACCCATAGAAAAAAATGTTTGTAGCTGCCTTTTCCTCCTGTTTCCTGCTGCTGCTGCTGCTGCTGGTGCTGCTGCTCCTGCTCCTGCTACTCCGGTGGCAGGCTGCGACGCCAAAAATCGAACCACTCCCAGCAGCAAATCCCCATGGCAGTGAAGGACGGAAAAGCATCAAAACTGCGCCCAAAAACTGCCTAATGTAACTTCTGAAACCCATAGAAAAAGATGATTTTAGCTACTTTTTCCTCCTGTTTCCTCCTGCTGCTGCTGCTCCTGCTCCTTCTACTCTTCTGAAACCTATAGAAAAAATGATGTAGCTACCTTTCCTCCTGTTTCCTGCTGCTGCTGCTGCTGCTCCTGCTCCTGCTACTCCGGTGGCAGGCTGCGACGCCTAAAATCGAACCACTCCCAGCAGCAAATCCCCATGGCAGCGAAGGACAGAAAAGCATCAAAACTGCGCCCAAAAACTGCCTAATGTAACTTCGGAAACCCATAGAAAAAGATGATTTTAGCTACTTTTTCCTCCTGTTTCCTCCTGTTTCCTCCTGCTGCTGCTCCTGCTCCT